TTCGTTTTGGCTTAAACTTTCAGGCTAATATACGGGCCACAAGACCTATATGTGGGCAAAATTTCAGGTCGAAACTCCTTAATTTGATTTTTCGGTAAATATCGTATCATAGGTGATAAACCCAGTAAAATGACCATAACTCGAGAAGAAAGGCCCATGGGCCCTTGTCCTTTTGGGCTTTTTCTAATCTCATTGGACTCTACTTATGGGCAAAATATCGGCTTAAAAGCTTTGAATCACTTCGAACGGTTCCCTCGTTAGTACTTACAGTGGGTGAGTCATAATGATTGTAATATCTACTATTTTGTAAATACTTCAGCACAGATAAATCGTATAACCTTGCTTTTTTTGTTTAGAAGATGCATTGTAAAATTCTCCACAAGAATAGTGATGAGGAATCTTATTTAGTTTTATGATTTTTTTTATAAGACTAAAAGTGAAGCACTACCTGATGATCCTTGGTTCTGAGAGACTTAAAAATGAAAATAATGCTAACAAATAGTCGTCTTCCTATTTCAAACAAAACTCTTCATGATATTATTACTAGGGGAGAGAAGTTACTGTTACCAAGTAACAGTAATGGAGTAACGGAAATTTTCTGAGCTCATGAAAAGAAAACCCATCCTTCGACACCAATGATTCTTAATAAATTTTGACAAACAGTGTTCGGGATCAAGAACTCGAATTTATTATCGATATCTCGAACCTTTCAAAAAGCTAGATGTTGCAGTCATTATGGTTCACATGGCATAAGTGCCAAGTACTTTTTTTCAAAGTTCAAGTAAAATCATTTTACTTGCGGTATTTATTCTGGTCCTACCTCTGGCACATAGAGCAAATTTTCAAAACTAGTTGGTTTAACAGTCAATTGTTATAAAGTTTCGAATTTTCACACATTGAACATTAATTGTTGCAAGGTAGTTGATGCTAAATATGAGTTGCAATAATACATTTTACTTTTGTGACATGAATTTCAGTATTTAAATTGACTAGTTTTGAAAACTTTCTCTATGCATTAATATAGTGTTGTTGATAAAGTTCGTTTCGACTTCTTCTTACTTTCTTAGATGATTACTGAAAATTATCTATTAAACCTTGCATATGTATTTTTCCTACATGATAATCTGTGAAATTTCTTTAATGAGGTAAAAAATATAACTTGACAACAGCATTTGTTTACGTTATCCGTATGAAAAAAACACTTAAAATAAGCTTCGATCACTAACCAAAAAATCAGGCTATTCGACCGAATTGATGTGAAGATATTTCAATTTTTTTAACGTAGTACTATTTTTGGCTCGCTCTGTATAAATGATGATAATCAAATTTTTGTGTACTCGTAATGAAACAAAGTCTAACTAACCCCTCTTCCGCTATTAGTTATTTTTAATATATTAGTAATGCATGAAATAAATCTTTTAATTGTTAAGTGAGCGTTTTTTGAGCCTGGGAAAAAATCTCGACCAAAGATTATATTAGATTTACTTTCGACCTTGAAGTTGTAACAATATGGAAAAGTAGCGTTACATAATTCACATTTTCTCTCTATGTTTAAACATAATGAAATGATTAACATAGCAAGAGCATCAATAAACTGATTATCAATATATTCTCAATTTTGTATAGATTAATCAAATAGACATACTTTTATACACAACCGGCCTTTATTTTCAAAATCATCTCAAAATAAAAGACTAAAATATGATATGATCGACTCATTGAAATCACACTTTCTGATATGATTACTGAAGATTACAAGAACGAAATATGAAAATTAAGCCATTAACTAACTCATTACGAAACAGAACACTACAAAAACATATAGAATAATAGGTCCTCACGATATGTTTATTACCATTACATAAACCCGTGTCTGTTCATACGCCTTCACAAAGGGTTACGATCCGTTCCAAATTCATATAGTCTTGTATTGTTTTCTGTGTTCATAAACCCTTTTTGGGTATGGAAAAAAGAATAAATCCTTCAGTAAAAGGTTTAGCATAGCACATTTTAAATACAATTATAGAATAATAAACTCTTCGTCTGATGGTTTATTCTATTCATATACTCAGAAAGGGTTTATAAATTTATAGCGGGTCACAAACTCATGTCAACATTTATGAACAACAAAAGTTTATGTAATGGTAGTGAACAAATAGAGAGATTTTATTATTCCACACTTATTTTTGAGAATGAAAACTTTACTGAAAACTACTTATTTACAGGGTGTGCAGAAAGTGATTAGCCAAAGAAAAATTTGAATATCTCAACCATACTTTTAACCAAATGAGCTGATTTTTTTTACTGCTGATAGGGAACTGCTCCTAACCCATATTCATAAGAATAATGTTGACAGATACTGCTTCAAGGTATCACTATTGACTCCAATAAAGAAATATCTTCTTATGCGAATTCTGCAAACGAAGAATAAATTTGAATAAGTATACCATAGTCCAGCCAAAGTAGAGTGATTCTTTTTAAATCATAGAAACGTATTCCTGGCAAAATTCGTGTTAGATAAAATAAGATATCTTACAACTTAAACTTGCCGTACACGTAAATAGTGTTTTTCGAAACCCATAATAGGGTCATTTCTTTTTATTGGTCAGCTCATTTGGTCAAAGCATGATTGAGATATTCAAGTTCTTTTTTGGCTAATGACTTTTCGGACATCCTATATTTCTAATGTGCAAACAACTTATAATCAAACTTGAGATTACCTATTATTATCATAATTCTAAAACTATGGATTTAATGAGCTTTATAGTCGTATTGGATATCCATACGTGTACAGTTAGTATATATATATATATTTAATATACACTCATTTTTAGAATAGCTTATACAAAGAAAATTAAGTTTATAAATTAAGATTCCTACTATAATAATTATTTTATTATTCAATTTAACACCAGATAAAATTTCATAACTTTTAGTGTCTTTTGCATTGGCATAAAAAAATTTGTTCATGCTCATTATCTTCATTAATTGCTTTTGGAATAAATTCAATGAATGCATTGACTTAATGATTATAAAATTGTTCACAAATTTCAAACACAACAGAGTTCGAATTACATTGTAAATCTATATGTACCAAAATATATCGATCTATTCGGACGAGGGAATATATAAAGTCGATTATTGATATATTATAAACAATTAAACCATTCTTGGCATTAGAAAACTCCTTCATAATAGAAGACAAGCCTCATTTAATTGATTTCTTCAAAAATGGAAACTTTTATTAGAATATTTACACCAAAATATATCTGGTTTTGAGGATTTCGAGCTGAGAAATCTTAAAAGACTGATCAACAGTATTTCTGAGTTTCTAAAATCCTGACAATTATGCGTTAAAGCTGTGAAATCGCTCTGCTTCTCTAAAAAGAATTTTTTTTATATAGAACTTATAAAAGCAGATTAGCTACAACCTAGGTCGAGGATTCCAGCCACGGAATTCTGCAGAATCCTACAGAAAAGATGCGAAAAGTCGCCGTATCCTGCAGGAAAACACCAGAAATCGTTGGAACATGGAAGCAGTATTCCACGCGCAAATTGTCCGGATTTTTTTCTGGTGGATTCCTGTCAACTTTCCGCGCTTTTCAGCAGGAACTGGCCGAAAGTCATCCGAAAAATTTCTGGCCGGAATATTGCTTCTATGTTCTAGCGATTTTCGGTGTTTTTCTGCTGGAACCGACCCGTACTTCTTAATCTGGAAGTAGAAGGTTCCTTAAAGCTTTATACGCTTGAACATAATAAAAGATCTAGAATCTTTTATTGCGGGAAGGAATTAATATTCTTCGAGTATATGACGAAAATATATTTATGTGCTCGAAAAGATTTCGCTGATTCTTATTCTTTATTTTTGTCATTAAATGTTTTTTTATAAATAAAAGCTTTTAGTCTTAGGAATATATAGATCTTTTCATAGTTCAATTTCGCAACGAATTTCGTAACACATATTTGATGCATATGTAGCTTTAAACATCCTCTTAAAATTGAGATATTGATCTAGTAATTGATAAAGTAGTATGACGTTGAATTTTCACTATTAGTAGAATAAATTCGTTTGTTCTTAGGAATCACTTCTATTTAATAACAATTTTTATATGCTGTCAGAAAAGCAAAATGATGAAGTTTCAACAGTACATCTTTGTTTTTGTTTATACTAAATACCTTGATGATTCATTCATTAATTGAATTATAATATACATATATAGTGAAGTTCTATAAAACTAGATAAGAAAGTTTGATTATTTCATCACAAATTGAGATCATCATGACACAAAAAACCTATTGCCAAGTAAGTTTGTATTCATTCTTGCATAATTAAATATTTATAGATCTGTGTAAGATATGACTTACGATTTTCTAGAAGTAAACTGAAAGATAAATTTTTATCATATTCAGGATGATACGAGAACGAATTTTCTTTTTATTTGAAAAATCATGATGAGAAACTCAACAATGAATTAAACTGATAACAGAACAATCAAAATTATAATACATATAGTTGAAAATAAATTAATTTTAAGTTTCTTTATGATCTAATTGTTTTATAGCGTAGTCATATGAAATACCTCAAAATCTTTTTAGTCGATTTAGTTTATATTTTTATATATTCTTTGCATTTCTTCTCCATAATAAAAAACTCAATACTAATACAAAGTAAATGCAAAGTATATAATTCGATATGTTCATCGGTGTTTATGAAATTGATCTTTTGCTGTTGCAACATTGTCAATGTTTTTTTATCAGCAGATTCATCTCGACCATATAAGAGAACCGATATATACAGAAGAAAAACGATAATTATTAATAACTTATTCTGTCAGTTGTTCATGTGCATCTCTTCTGCTTGCTTCTTTACTTAGCTTAAACGCTTTTAAAACTCCTAATTGTTTATAGAGATTATATAAATAAAAAAAGTACCCATTGCCAGGATCATTCCAAAACCCAATTTGTCTGAGATTTTCAATCATGCACCAATCTAAGGACTACAGAAGAATATTATATATAACTGTTGTTTTGTTTTATACTAAAAAAAAGATGTTCGAGATCAATTAATTTTGGACTTTTTCATTTGTATTTCTAGGCATTTTTGAATTAGACTTCCAATAAATCGAGAAACATCCGTATTGACTAGAATCCGCTAAAATTTCACCGTTGAAACTTGCTTTAGTCTGATATAGAAGAAAGATATTTATGAAACATTAACGACAAGTAGAAAGCTTTTCTTTTGAATATCAGCGTGATGATCAACATGAGAATAATAACCCTACCGGAAAAATGAATCAATATCATACCTTTTTTGACAATTGGCAAAACTGTAATGTATTTTTATACCGTTCATTTTTTAAAATACTGATGGGTTCGTCGTCCATGACTAGATGAATTCGGCAACATACGCAATCTGGATCATTAAAAATCCACCTAATTCCTAAGAATGAATGTGACTTCTCTAGTGTCTTGAAAAAATGAGGTACTTGCATAAACGAAGTGGACATTCTAAGAGAGAAAAAGCGTACTTCTGTACTTTTGAGGTATAGAAGTGCTGAAAAGAGCAGAGAAGTATGCAGAAGTAAGAAGCAGTGCAGAGAACTACAAGGACATACAAAGGAGTATACAAAATTATGCTGTTTCCCTTTGATCAAAATAAACAGCAAGCAAAAAGCATTGATATCTGGAATGAGTCTAAATCAATAAGAACTGCTTAAATTGTTTTTCCCTGTATAATAATCATCAACCGTTCTATTCTATTAATCGTAAAAAATCATTTAAAAAAAATATCTATCTATATATTCATTTTCTAGACGATTGATCCATCCATCTATTCATGCATACAAAATTTCAACCAACAAGTCTTTGTTGCTCTCGTTCATTCAAGCATTTCGTTCGATAAAAGTAGATCTCATTTTCAGATCGTTCGTTCATTTTTCGTTATTTAGAACAGTTAAAATATCACTCACCGTAGGGTTTTGGCAAAACAAAACAACTCCAAGAAGCACCAATTTTTTTTTCTATTAATCAATTTAATGATTGACCATATAAGTATATATTATTTACTATACGAAAATAATAATCGTAATATTTATCAAACAATATTTGAATAATACACAAAATTCATTATTGATTTCTTGATTCTTGAATGTTTGCAATTTTATATTAATACAAATATTAATTTCAATTAATTTTATTCTTGGGACTGTAAATACAAATTAGTTGAATAATTCTTATTATTTAAATAAATAAAAATAAAAGACTCGATTTACAACAAAAGAATAAATTATTTACCGGTTGACGGACATTTCGCACAAAGTCATTCCGAACCGCGGACATGTGTCCGGGTGTTCGGAAATGACTTTTTGCCGTAACAAATATTCGACGGGAGTTCGTAATCCTTTTTGAACAGGAGATCGTAATCGAAAACACAGGGAGATCGGAAATGTGTTACTGGGAATTCGAAATGGAATGATCATTACTATATGCGGAGTAATGTTTAAAAATCGGGACGAAAAAGACGGGATGTTCATGATCCAATTTACCAGGAGATCGTAACTGATTTATTCTGATATTTGCAACGGTCATAAAGACTTTTCTTTCTTTTTTTTTATAAAATCAAGAAAGATTGATACAATAGGTTCGTAATTATATAAACAATATCTACCTTTCTCTGTCTCTACACATAACGCTATAATAACTGTACACTATGTTTGCGACTTTTGTGCTTTAACCTATTCATAATGTTGATAAATGTTATCACTAATCTCTGTGGAAATGAAGTACTATATAATTAAAAGTCTCTACGTTCAAAAATTATTGACTAGACGAGTGAGGGTATGAGGACGTAGGTGAGGGTGACGTCTTCTATTTACTGATCCTCACCCACGCTCACACTCCACATCCTCACCCTCACATCCTCATCTGTCGTTTGTGTACTATCTTAGAATAATAACTAGTAAATTATTTAACATATCTTAAAAAACAGCAAACATGAACACAGTTTCCAACATCCTGTTTTTATTGTTACGATCTTCCAATATTTTCATGCCAAACTCCGGTCAAATTTCACTTTTTTTTTCTCTAAAAATCAATATTCATTGTTCGTTACGATCTTCTGAACAACTTTCATTACGAACATCCTGTTCTTTTTTAATTTTGATTGATTTTTGTCATTCCGAACTCCCGTCCACTTAATTCCGAACACCCTGTTCTTTTTCATACGTCCGGAGAGCGTAACGAACATATGCTACTGGAGATCGTAATGAAAAGTTGGTGCGAAATGTCCATTTCTCTATTTACCATCACCATCGTTAAATAATATAAAAAACTTGTTGAGGAAAAATCACAAATAATAAATAATTACATAATTCTTTTCTTGTCAAACTCATCAACTATTCATATGTATCTATTACACTGTATTCGTATATACATATGTGTATTATTGTTAGCTCGCAACGGATCAACTTCTTTTATTCTATCGTAATAGAATATCTACATATACTTCTCACACATAATTATACACACACTGATATAAACATGTTTAAAAAAAAGAGAGATGAAAGCAAAGCAAACCAAAACAACAAAAGAAAAAGAAGAAAGAAAAGAGGGAGAGATTGAATTAAGGGTTTTTGTATGATGATGAAACGACTACTAACGATTATGTTTTTGTTTAAGTCTATCGATTTCTATTAAAACTTTAATAAAAGATAGATTAAACATCTATGAAATTATGTAAGGAAAAAAATCGTGTCTATTATTATTTTAAACAAAAACAACGAGTCAGCAATTACTTGAGAATTTCTCACCATATAATTACTCAATCAATGAATAATGTCTTTCTTTTTTTTGGGCTTTTTGCTTTTCAATCCTGTTGACTCGAATGAATCAAATAAGCAAAGCACGTGCATATTGTGACCTCCTCTTTCTTCTCTAGCTATTTGCTGCACATATCTACTCACTAATATATGGGAAAAAAGCTTGCCATTCTATCTACGATGTTTTGTTTTTCTTCTCAATTGATGACGATGCATTCATGCATTCATTTTCGTTTTTGTCCCTTTCTTGCTTGACGCACAGATACTTCGTCGTTGCTTCATCAGCAGTCTTGAAACAAATGAACTGATAGAAGTGTTTAAACCGATAAACAAAAAGCACACACTTCTATCGCGATTCCACAAAAACTGTCAACAAAAGTAAGAAACAACAATATATAGGGAGGGACAAAATCGTGCATATTGCATCCATTCACCCATTCATCATGGACGGAGAAAAATCGACAACAACTGCTGCTAGTAGCTCATCCTCCTCGTCCACTACAAATAAACTCAGGAAATCATTGTCATCACCCACAACTACTGCCGCTACTGTCAAAAATGAATCAGTAGTAGCAGCAACAACCACAAACAGCAGTGTCGCGTTGCCACGAGGTATACATCGGGTTCTACAAAATTTTCTCCTGATATGGCTTGATGCGAATGCTGATAAATCCAAAGATAGCTTTAAAAAAGCAATAGAACGTTTACGACATATTATAGTATCCATCACAACATTTACAGATGCTCAAAAATGTATTGATTTTCTCAGTGAAATTAAAAATGAAAAAGTATTTATGATTGTATCTGGCTCACTGGGACGACATTTAATACCGCAAATTCATGCATTGCCACAATTGGACTCTATTTATGTCTTCTGTGGTAATCAATCGGTTCATGAAAAATGGGCCCAAACAATATCAAAGATAAAAGGTGTATACACAAAAATTAAACCAATCTGTAAAGCCTTAAAAGTCGATTGTGAACGATGTGAACGAGCCATGATTTCGATCAGTTTTCATGGCATTGATGCATTGTTTATATACATGCCATTATTTATAGAAGTTCTTTTGGAAACCGATGATGACGAAACTAAATCCATCAAAGAACTTGCTGATTACTGCCGTCTTCAAAGTGATATTCCTGAAGACGAGATTGAAAAGATCGAACGAGAATATCGTCTTCATAAACCCATTTGGTGGTATACGGCTCCATATTTCATTTACTCGATGCTTAATCGAGGTCTCCGATTATTGGATGTCGATATTATACTCAAAATGGGTTTCTTCATTCGGCAATTACATCAAGATATTAAAGAATTACATCGCGAATATAAATCCACAACGACAATAAATACAACTCATTTTCAAGTATTTCGAGGCCAGGGTTTATCCATGCAAAACTTTGAAAAAATGAAGCAAACAGAAAAAGGCCTTATGTCTTTTAACAGTTTCCTTTCAACAAGCCGTAATCGTAATATTTCGCTGCAGAACTTTGCACGCCCAGCAGCACTCGATCCTAATTCGGTTGGCATACTCTTTGTTATGAACATCGACCCGAAACTCTGCGCAGCATCATCGACTTTTTTTGTTGAAGTCAAAAACGTCGGCTACTATGAAAGTCAAAAGGAAGAAATTCTTTTCTCGACACCAACGATTTTTCGCATCGATAAAATTGAACGGATCCATGATGATCATACTGATCGCCTATATGAAGTTAACCTCACCCTCACGGGTAATGACGAAAATGATTTAAACACACTTGTGGCACGCATACGCGAGGAGTCTGGTTGCGCAGTAGGATGGTTCCGACTAGGTCAAATACTTATGAAATTAGGAGAGTTTGCAAAAGCAGAACAACTCTATCAGCTTCTTCTCGAAAAGGCATCTTTTGATAAAGATCGAGCAGACTGCAATGACATACTTGGTCAGGTGAATTCTCAGATGGGAGAGTATTCGAAAGCCCTTTCATTTTTCGAACGAGCACTAGATATCCGACAAAAAACCCTCCCTTTGAACCCTCTCGACTTGGCTGCTTCTTACAACAACATCGGTTTGGTGTATTATAACATGGGTGAGTATTCGAAAGCACTTTCATTTTACGATCAAGCACTTAGTATTGACGAAAAAATCCTTCGTCCGACTCATTCTGATTTGGCTAAATCCTACAACAACATCGGTTTGGTGTATTATAGCATGGGTGAGTACTTGAAAGCACTTTCATTTTACAAAAAAGACCTGGAGATCAATCAGAAGACTCTCCCTTGGAATCATTCCTCGTTGGCTAATTCTTACAATAATATGGGTTTAGTGTATTCTAACATGAATGAACATTCGAAAGCACTTTCATTTTACCAACAAGCACTCGATATCGACGAAAAAACCCTCCCTCCGAATCATCTAGACTTGACCAAATCCTACAGCAACATCGGTTTGATGTATTATAATATGGGTGCGTATTCGAAAGCGCTTTCATTTTACGAAAAAGACCTGGAGATCAACAAGACAACTCTAAGTTCGAACCACCCTGATCTGGCCACTTCCTATTATAACATCGGCTTGTTGTATTATCAGACGGAGAGATACTCAGAAGCACTTTCATTTCACGAAAAAGCACTTGATATCCGCCAAAAAGCACTCCCTCCGAACCATCCCGACTTGGCTTATTCTTATGGCAACACCGGTTTGATCTACGATAACATGGGTGAATACTCGAAAGCACTTTTATTTTACGAAAACGCGCACGCAATCTTAGAAAAATCTCTTCCTCCAACGCATCCTTACGTCGCAAAATCGGAAAGAGACGTTCAACGTGTCAAAAAGAAATTGTAATTCATCCTTTCTTTCACTAAAATAAATTTGATTCGTTTGTTTTGGATCCGTTATGAATTTTTTTTCACAAAATATTTCTATGCTTGTGCACGTGACTAAAAAGTCCCAAGACCTCGTTGGGATAGTACACTAGACGATGCCGACAATAGTCGACCAACCATACATGTAGCTGATTTTGTTTAATAGAGATATCATTTCTTTACCAGAATTAATAAGTTTGATGTTTTCCTATTTGAAATTATTATTTAACACAACAAAACAAAGGCATTTCAATTCGTTTAAATGAGAACCAACATGACTACCACCACGATATCCACGAACTGGACGTTGCATTTATCTGAAGTTAGAACAAATTTTAGTTTATTTCTTTTAAAATATCATGCTTATATTTGTGTATCATTTATTAATATTCAACATTAATTAGTAGTAGTAGTGGCGTGACCAGAGAATATTGTAGAGACCTCACGAGAGAATCTCTTCGACTGCCTTCATTTGGTTTCAATGATTTTTTGCTTATAGATACAACAGAGTGTTCTAATGAAAAAACCATAAAAAGATTCGAGTTCGTATTGATCTTTGGTTTGGCTAAGCTATCGAAATTTTTAATATGTCTACTTTCTAAAGGCTCCAATTTTTTGGAAAATTTGTGCCTTCGAATTTTTATCAGAAACTTTGTGCATGTAAAGATCTTAACTAGACTAGATCTCATACAAGAATTCAGAAGTTTTGAACAAAGTCTCTTTGAGATATGAATCTTTCAAAGCATGCATATAGTATGCGCTATCGATAAAAAGGGTCTATAATTTGAAAGTATCATATCTCGAATAGACTTTGTTCAAAACTTTTGAACTTTTTCATGGATAGAAGTTAATCTAGTTAAGTTCTCTATACGTACAAAATTTCAGATCAAAATTTGAAGATACAAGTTTTCCGTAAACCTTGAGTCTTTAGAAAAAAAGCATATTAAAAATTCGATAGCTTAGTCAAAGATCGATAGGAACTTAAATTATTTTAGGGTTTTTGTTAGAACACTATTTAGTATCTATAGGCAAAAAAAACATTGAAATAAGAAGAGAACCGCTAAAGAGGTTCACTCGTTAGCCTCCGTGTTCATGGCAGCAAGGAAGATGAAGACCTTCGGATAATGCTTCTAGAAGAAACTCAGTCATTTGTGATGGGGATTCAAAGTCTTCTGTGGGTGGATTGAGTCTCCGTCTGATAACACTAATAATTAACAGCATTCATGAAGGCTTCTATTTCTATGAGTTCTTCTTGTTTTAATTATCCTTTTTCAATGATAGCAAAGTATACAACTATTTAACAATTGTTATATATAAAAACAAACAATTCAGTTATTATTTTTTCAAAATATCTTCATGTAAAAAATAATAATCGATCAACATATACAAAAGGAAAATAAGTTATAATATTAACTACAATAAAAACGGATTTATTCATCATCATCATCGTCGTTGAATAGTGTTAACTTAGTACCAAAACGTTTTGGTGGCCAAATAACATACAACGCTCGTCCAGTTATCAAACCTCGAGCAATCTGAAAATAGGATAAATTTGTCTTCGATTCTATTAATTATTACTTTGACTTACATAACCAAAATGGCGACTATCATAACTTGCACGTTTATTATCATCTGCGACCCATACATGTCCTTTTGGTACTTGTGTTTCTTTTTGTTTTATTGTATCACTTAGAAAATAAATGTTAACTAAGAAAAAAATACGTTACTTCAAAAATTACTTTCTTACTAAATCATTTCATTTTCTAATGCTTTTACACGTTTGATCATAAAAATACCTGGTTGACGAGGAGATCTTACAAAATTTTCATATTAAACACAATTCATCGAAATAGAAAAGTCGCCAAAAAAAAACATACTCAAATGATATAATAGCACCTTTTTGTAAAAAATAGTCATCCATATGCCATCGTTTTATTAAGATCCAATCACTATGCAAATCAGTCGGATTAAGCAGAGGCTACAGCAAATAAATTAATAGTCAATCATAATGAACATAATCTACCTGCATTAAAGTACCATCAACAAGTGATATTGTTGCTATTTTATCCATAAAAGTTGTAAGAAATGGAAGGGCAAGAATAGCACCTTTAAATCCATGTTTTAAAAACCTTCCCAATTTCTATTTAAATAATTATATATTTAGATTAATATTAATCAGTGAAAAAAAAACCCTTAATCTACCATATCATAGTATTAACAATATAAAAGAAAAACAAAATTGATCTAGAGAAAAAAAATATTAATATTTTTATATTTTTTCTAAATAAAACTACATTAAACTAGATAAAATATAATCAAAAATCAAAATCAAAGTGCACAACACAAAAAAAAACTTCAATTAGGTGAGATTGTGTGTCATATCATAAAAATTCGAGAGGATAGGGCAAGCAATTAGGATTCGATTTTGAAATTGTTTACCAGTGAGTTGTCGATTTAAGATTATTAAAAACATGTTTGACATCTTCAAAAACCTAAAATTACACAGAAATAGTTATGTTAGATTATGATTGTTTAAAATAAATCAAACCTTGTCAACATCATTTGAAGCATCAATATGTTTTACTAAATTTTCTTTTTCATAGAATTCAATTACCGGTCGTGTTGAATTATTATATGTAACAATACTAAGATAAATAAAATAAAAATTTCTAAATAAAATTTTTAAATGTTTTTACCGTTTCTTTAAACTTTCTTCATTGTCATCGGTTCGTCCACTTCCTTTACCACGTTCCAAACATCGACCAACACAAGTCTATCGGAAAAACAAAAACGATATAATAAAAATAAAAAAGAGAAAGATGAATATAATTATATTAACCTTTTCATCACAATCAAAAAAGAGAACACATTGAACATTAACTTTTCCATCCATAGCTTGTTTCCATCGGTCAACATTATCTTTATTACGTGGAAATCCATCTATTAAAAAAATTTCTTTGCCACTTTTCTTCATAGCCTTTATAAAAATAGAAAAAAAAGTGTATTTTGTTACAGATAGTGAAAATAAATGTCTTGTTACACTTTAGGACCCCAAGCATCTGATTGATTACAACATAAGCACGAAAGTCTGGGTGAGGGTGAAAAAGTTGATTATTTCGGATCCTAAAGTGTAAAAGCTCAAAAAAATGGATAAAAACGCTCTCTTGTGATACATTAATTTCGGTTTTATTTTTTGTCTAGGACAATATCTCAATCTAGTACTTTGGACTCTTCAAAACGTGTAATTGGCCAGAAAAATAGTTATATACATATATATATATATTTAACAGACAGTGCCTTTCAAAAATGATATTCATGAAAGTTATTTTCTTGTGAGTATTTCAAAATTTACAATGTGCATGATTGAAAGTAAAGTAAGATCTCTCATGATTATATTGTTCTAATAAAGAAGTAGCTTCCAGGATTTGTTTTTTCGAGATTTTTCTATATATTCCATCATACATCTTATCATGAAACGAAGGAATTTATAATGAAAGTAGGTATCTAGCTGAAATAAGAGTAAGAACAACACTTAAGACGCGAGACCAGATGAGAGGAAGGGGACGACTGACACTTCAGAATTATGTCTGTCGTTTGGTACAGTTCAAACGCATTGTATGCTATCAACAGATTAATCTAGATCAGTTCTATGGTTTAAATAAATTCAATAAACCCCGATAAAACAAGTTCCAGTAACCTCTCTTTTTTCAGTTTTGAAGTTCTTTGCTCTTTTCTATTTTTTTCTGTGTATGCAATGAAAGTTATTTATTATGTATTACATTAATGGTCATAAAGAGACCATGACCTGATACAGTTAACCCTATTTTAAAAAGCGATAGTCATTAGCAAATAGAAATGATGACTCATGTTATGTTCTCATGACATTTGTCATGTCTTATCTTGATTTTTTTATATCAGTGTGACGTATTTCTGATATTTTTCTTGCTTGAATAGTGACTTTCACACAGTAACTATCATTTACCAATAGCGATTCAATTAATTGTTCTTATTCGAGTGTAGATTAATTTACAAACTGAATGTTTACTACCTTTGGTGTTGAACATGATTATTCTCAGATGAGATGGTCAAAAAAAGAAATATACTTACTAATAGATGGCAGGACAATTGTACTAACGATGATCTTTTGTTAAAGAAATTTATACATCATATTAAGAATGCAAAGAGTTATGGAGAAATCAAAAAAAAAAGATAGAGATATTAATATAGAAGAAGACAATAGCATTGAACAACTTTCATTATATACAAATATTGGGAACAGCATTTCTGGAGTTGCTTATTACATTACTTGATAAATATTAAGAATGTTACTTTTCAATATAAATCTGTTGTCATTTATGCCAAACATACTATTTTGAAAAGCTTATATTACACCTTTTTTTGCACATATATTTTCTTTCGATCTTTTCATAAAAGCAGTTCCATGATCTGTTAGTTATATTAGACCATTATATAATCTAGAGTACTGATTTCAGAGGCTGAACCTAAGACTAAAAGACTATAATTCTATTCTTTGAAATATTAAAATGATTCATGACACTAATAAGATTGTTGTCAAGCCTTACGCATCTCTTAGATATTGTGCGTGAAATTTCAATTCGATTATCAAATACTCAAAACTGGAACCACATATATATAAAGTTTGAATTGTTCAGTAACTTCAACTTTATTTTTTGTTTGAATATTGTTTAAATTTATTCTTGTATCACACCATAACACAAAAATAAGCTAATCAAGATTCTAATGTTAGCTTTATTCTACATTTCTAATAAACAAAAAGCCAAAGAAATGAAAGAAATATCTGACAAAGACTGGTCCAAAAAAAAACAAATGATGAATAAGGTTTTGAAGAAATATTTCACTGTTTTTTAGCCTGAGAAAAACAAAAAACCTTATTCAATTGTCCTTGTTAAGAATTATATGCAAAAGAAAAATATAATTAACTTAAGAAACAGCAAGTGTTTCACATTTAGGATCATTATTAAAACCAAATGATTCTGTATAATAAACAGGTTGAGTCCATCCTGTTGAATTAATAAAAGTTGTTGATCTTGTCGAAGGTAAAATTGGTGAAGAACGAGAACTCGTCTATATAATAATAAAAAAGAAAGAATTTTTTTCGCAAAGAAAAGAAAAAAATACTTACTTCAATTGAAACATTACTTTATAATCGAACACTATAAGCATCTCGACGAAGTTGACTTCGTTCTCGTAATGTTCGACCAACACGATTATTTAAATGCTCCATTTGATTTTCAAGTAATTGAATTTTGATGTTAATAAATGATTTTCACGACGCATTTCACGCACTTTGGCATCTTTGTCAAGCATACTATTAAATATATACATAATAATAAGTTTCACATAGAATGAAAAATGCTTTGTTTGGATAAAAGAAAAGGCGCTATTTGAAAATAATGTGATCAGTTAGGGAGAGGAAAGAATCCTACAGAGAGTTGTAATCGGTCGAGATTTTTTGAACTGATTCGGTTCATTTGTTGGATCATTATGTCTCGATTAATGGAAATGGCTTCGAAAAACATTCATTCTCTTTTTGCACTCAGGCTTTTACAAATCTCCAAGAAGAAGAAATATCATATTACACTAGTTTATATCGATTAGACTTTTCAAAGATGAATGTGATATTTCTATATATCTGGCCTCCCACTGAAGATCCATTAAAAAAGAGGAATAAAGAGGATCACTGTAAAAATAAAAAAAAGAGAAAAAGTAGGAGGCTCTTTTTTCCACCTTGAATATCATAAAAACACTCAAAGTGAAGCGAAAACTCCAACATTGTGAAATTGACCTTTTATTAATCTCTGTTTCGTGAACGTTTAAATATAACAAGTGTAGCAAAAGTTCCTAGAAACTGTCACACTCTCTTGTATTCGAACAGAAAATGATAGAAAGCTTATTCCATTTTTTAGATATAGTTTGGTTTCTACTTTCAAAATATGTTTCACAGACTTCTATTCATACACTAGAAGTAAAATTTATACGATTTTTATAGATCACCTAAAAAGTAAGATGTAAAAATTTTTAACAGTGAAGACATTGTATATATAAAACGAAGACATGTGCCTGTGAGCTAAAATGACTTCTATGCTGTGTGACTACTCACAGATCACCTAGGGAAAATTTTCTGTTTAAGTAAATCTTTTTCTATCGAGATTCACTTGCTTAAAATTATGTGGGCATAAATTGCGAAACTTTCTGTAACAGTATGTTTTACAATTTCATATATCTAATAATTAACTTAGCACAAAGAGTTTAGTGAGATTTTTCTACATATTCTGGTAGCTGGCGAAAAGCGTGATCAGCCCCCGTCGATCTTCCTTTAATTGCTTGTGAAAATGGATATATATAAAGTGATAAGAGTTTCAAACAATTGATACACACAAATTTTCAAAACAGTGAACATTAGTTTTTTTGCGCTAACAGTAAATGATAACAATCAAGTCTTTCAATAGTTTGCGTGTGTGGCAACAGCTTATATCATTTTGTATAGAACGTGTAAAAAAAGGAGTCCAAAATGTTGCATCTAAGACAAGATAATAAACTTATTTTCGAAGACATCAATAGCGAAATTGCTGCAATTTACAGTAAACTTTTTAGCAGTTTTAAAAAAACCGAATTGATTTGTCTACTAATGTATGAATAAAAGTTTTCGAAACATATCCTTTTAGAATAGTAACCACGCTCTATCTAACAATAAAGAATTAGCTTCCTCTCATCATCAATTCAAATACAACAGAATCTGAGATTTTCCAGAAACTATTGCAACATCCGTTAAGTTACACTAAATTGTACATGAATTAGGAATGTCAAACAAACTATCAAAATTCCTTTTATCTTTATTGGCCACATTCAATGTTGTAAAAGTCGATTGAAGTTCAACCAATTACTCTTGATCATTTTTAACTACGTTTGCCTTTTTTGTTGGAACTTAGTTCCGTTTTAGTTCTTTTCTATCTAAGATAGTTGCATATTGTATCTTTATAAGTCTAGCGTTCTCTCGATGTGAAAAAAAAACATGAAAAAAAATCAGTGTCACTATCATACATGAACCTATTGTTGCTAAAAAAATGTATCTATGCTAAGTTTTTTTCTGTACACTTTATTTTTTAGTAAAAAAAGAGGAAAATGTCTAAAAAGAGGATAAAAAGAGGAGTTTAAATATAAAGAAAAAAAAGCAGAAATTTTTTTTGGAGAATTCCTGAAGGACACCGGGGGCGCCCCTGAAGGATCTCTAGTGACTCTCCCAATTTTTTTTGCTTTTTTCTTGACTTCTTGATACTTTCGATAGATATTTCATCAAAAAATTTCTTCTGCTTTATTCAACTTCCAGGAGACTTCGCTAATCTGTAGGAATCCCCTAGGAAGTTGCTTAGGAAGAGTCGACTAGGGTTGACTTGATATTTTATCCATATCAATGATAAAAGCTGTTTTAGCAAATACAATATAATAATGCAATAGACATGTAAAACGTATCGTTTCAAGATGAAAATTTTGAAGAGCTATTTGAACAGCATCTTGCAAACTATGAATATTGAATAACATACTCTTGAAAAATATATTAAAGAATTTACTCAATTCATTTCTAGACACGATTATCATAATTCCTCATGTTCAAACAACTATACTTCCTGCTCTTAAAATCGATAATCAAGATGTTATTCGTAAATGTATAAGCAGATTTAAAACACTTATATCATTTTATGAAGTTGAACTAGAAGAAGACATTATAGATATTCTTCTAAGTCTATCAACAAATGACATTTGTGATGAAACTATAAGACAACATATTAGTATGTTATTGAATGCTTCTAAATTAGAAGAGAATCAGAAATACGCATATGAACTCGCTTATTTAAATTTTGATACAAATGATCAATTACTCGATAAATTAGCTGAGTTTGATAAAGATAAACTATTAACACAAAACTTAAATCAAATCGATTTTATTATTGACAATGATTCAGAATTAAATATAAAAGCTTTAGAAACTCTATTGAAATGTTTGAATAAGGAAAATATACCAGATAAATTATTAGATAGTATTTCTGTTTTACTAACAAGTACGAATTCAAAAGTGATCAAGTCTTTATGTTTCCGACTTATAGCTGAAATGACAGATGCAGAAAGAAAAGTAATCAATGAAATCATATCACTCATTCTTGATCAAGATGAAAATGACAAACTAATAGAAATACTTAAGTTAATCTCGAAAAATTAAACGATATCAGAAGAATTGAAATATAAGATAAAATTATTCTCAGATATTGATCCTACGATGAATATCTATCTAACAGTTCTTGAAGGCTTTTTAAATAACATGCGACAAGAATATCAAAGAAGTCGAAAATTTTCTGATTTATTATCTATTCAGAAATTATTTTCATTAAAAATTCCAAAGGATGAGATTCAAAATAATTTAGAACAAGAGTTGGTCAATATCTATGCGTTAATTTTAACAGAAAATGCTGAATATTCTTCCAATCAATCAATCGTTGATAGTTTAGAAAAAGCGATTTTATCGAAAACACTAAAAAAAAATATTCTAAATGCTTATAAAAAAGTCATCAAAAGAACAAGATGTCAAACAAATCATTTTCATCATATATTCGATATTTTCATAGATATTTCAAGTCAAAATAATAAATTGATGATATTTCATTTCGATATACTTGTGTGCATAGCTTCAGTATTTCAAGCTAAGAAAATTTCTAAATTAGAACCATTAGAAAATAATCTTTTCAATGATAATGAAATTATTCGTAGTTAGTCATTTCGAGGTTTAAGAGCAGCTTGTGATAGAGATTTTCGATCTTTAGCATTTCAACAATGGTGTGATCAAGTTATTGATAAACTAGAAGAAAATATTGAAATTGATGTTAATTTAGATTTAGATTTATTCGAAACTATCTCAGCATTAAAATACATCGATTTTGATAAAATTCGTGATAAGCCACAAAATCAATGGAATAGAGAACTTTTAAAATTTTGATTTAATAGAAAGATTTCAAATAAGTGAAGCAGAATGTTTTCAATTTTATCAAGCTTTACTTGATATTGAAGAAAATCAAACTTGTGCGAAAAGTTAATGTGATATATTATTGAAATTATTACATCGTTGCATAGTAAATAATAGTGTGTTGTTTCACGAATGTTATGAAACAATAAAAATTTTGAACAAATTGGATTTTGAAACTGTTCATTGTATCGTATTCAATAGTAACAATGCATTTCTTGATTGGAGAAAAAAAAATATCGAACTGTAATCATTTATCAACGGTTAGTGAATAAAAAAGATATCAGTTGTGAATATGTTGAAACTTTAGCATTGAATATGATATTGAAATTTGACCTTGATCTAAGTCAAAACATTTTCGATGCTCTACAAAAGATAAATAATTTACAAGAATTTGAAGAAATTTTAAATTTTGCTAAAAAAAATCAGATTAAATCATCGGTGTATCTATGTTAAGAATGTAAGTATTTCAATATTAAAATGATGATTAGAAATTAAATTTTTAGGACATCAAATAAAAGAAGTTGATTGATTATAATTAGGTGTTCATCTTGATAGTTTATTAGATAAAAATTTGACTTTTGAATAATTAAATCATTTTTTCAATATCGTTAAAGAATCAAATAGCCGAGATAAAGGACGATGTTTTATATCCGTTCTCGAAATCATATCACACTATAAAATTCTTTCAAAGGAAGAAAATTATGAAAATATTTCAACAACCCTAAAGAACTCAGTCGAAGATTGGCTAAAGAAAATTAATCAAATTGCAGTTGTAACAATTTTTTTCTGATAAAGGTCAAGTTAAAACATCAAGATAATTAATACAAGAATTGGAGAATAGAAACTCACATAATCAAAATTTGAAAAATTTAGACGAAAAAAAATTATTAAACTTAATAGAAAAAAACAAAAGTTCGAATTTAGTTTCCAAAGTTTTTAAGGAAATTTTACAAAATCAATCAAATCCTAAGAATCGAATTTCTTCAAACTTTATCCCTCAATGGACACTAGATCATGTTTGCCAATGGGCAGATATTGTAAAAAAGAATGTTGAAACTTCAAATACAGATTTCGAAGATTTTATTATAGAAGCTCTTGCAGTGATAAAACAAACAAATTTCATAGACACTGGATTTCATATTACAGATGCACAAATCCTAAGTTGTTTAATCGTTTTAAATATAAATAAGAAACAAGGTAGATTACTACAAGTAGGAACTGGTGAAGGTAAATCGACGATTATGGTAAAGTTGTTAAATGTCGAAAGCAAAATGTCGAAAGCAAAAATGTCGAAAGTAAAACGTCGAAAGTGAAAATGTCGAAAATAGAAAACCCTTGTAAATCCTAAAGTCAANTACACACCATTATTACAACTTCCAACTTTTCACCTCTTTTCACGAGACATAAGACATTCGTCAAGCGTCTCGCCGTTCCTCTCCAGCCTTCTGTATTATATTTTTGTTTTTTTCCTCGTAACATCTTAATAAAAAGGCTTTGACTCCAAAAAAAAAAAAAAAAAAGTTGAAGCTATTGAAATACTACGTAAATACTCAGCAAGTAAATTTCTCATTCCAGATGATACTGTCTATGCACTAGAAAATTTTGTTACGACACCTGAACTATTTAATCAAATTTTTGAAGTGGTTGAAAATATCATTCATAATAAACAGATGGTTAGCGAAAAACTTCTTCACATTGTTGCCGATAATTTTTATTTATCACATGATAATAAACTAAGAGAGAGTTCCTATCATCTGCTAGATATGGCTAATGATAATCAAGATATATCTGAAGGAATTTTCAATATATTCGAATTAGAAAAAGCTAGTCACGCCATTAGGTCATATTACTTGGAAGCTAAGTGTGCTATTGTTTATTTACTTGAGAAAACAAAGAATGGACATCGATTAACAATTAATGGTTTTCGAGCATTAGCACAAGTCATCAACACTCCATGGATAATCGATAACGATGTTTTGAAAATATTGTTGAATGTTTCGAATAATGGACAAATAATACCTATTGATTTAGTTGGGAAACTAACGAGAAGATTTAATCCATGCAGTGAGCAGTATGATTTCGTTCGAATATTTGAAAATTTAGTTAAAAATAATCAAGATATACCGAGTCAACTTTCATCTAAATTGACTAAAGCCTTGGAAAATCCATCTATTCGTGATCAAGTATTAAGTATTTTTCTCCTTGAAGGGCAAAAAGATAAAAAGCTATCTGCGAAGATTATTGATAAAATCCTTGATAAATTTTTCAGCATAAAAAATTCATTTATTATGGAACAATATCTGTCTGTTATGTGTTCAGTTATTGAGAAGAAAGATTACTTTGCAACTGATAGGAAAAGTCTTCTTGACCGAATACTACGCCGAAACTCTGGTAAAAAAATAATTGCTCGTATTCAAACAGCATTAGTTCATGCTCTTAAAACTGATAATCAAGATGTTATTCGTAAAGCTATAAATGGATTAAAAATACTTGTATCTCGTCACAAAGCTGTACTAGAAAACAACTCCATAGATATTCTTTTAAGTTTGGCTGCGAGCGAAATTTGCAATGAAACAATCAAACAAGACATCGGTCTATTATTAGATGCTTCTCAATTAGAAAAAATCAGAAATATGCTTATGAGCTTGCCTACTTAAAGTTTGATACTGGCGATCAATTACTCGATAGATTAGATCAATTTGACAAACCGAAGCTATTAGCACAAAATTTGAATCAAATTAATCAAATTCTGGACGATGATTCAGCAATGAGTCTCAGAGCTTTAAAAACTTTACTGAAATATTCGGATAAGGAAAATATCACAGATAAACTATTGAAGAGTATTGCTGTTTTATCAGCTAGTACTAATTCAAACGACATAAGATCTTTATGTTGTCAGCTTATTTTTGAAATGGCCAGAGCTGGTAGAAAAGTAACTGATGACATCATATCGCTCATTCTTGCTCAAGATAAAAATAACAAACCAATAGAAATCCTTAAGGTAATTTCAAAAAATCAAACAATATCAGAAGAATTGAAAAATAAGATAAGAGTATTCTCTGATATGGACTCTTCGATGAATATTGATTTAACGAAGATTGAAGAATTTTTAGATACTCTGTGGCAAGAATATCAAGCAAATCGAACACTTTCTCATTTATCGATTGAAAAGCTGCTTTCATTGAAAATTGAAGAGAACAAACTCGAAAAAACGTTAGAACAAAAATTAGTTGATATTTATGCGTTAATTTTAATACAAAATCCACAATATTCTTTCTTTCAAACTATTGTAGACAGTTTAGAGAGAGCGATCTTATCCGAGCTACTGAATAAAAACATTTTAGATTCATATAAAGTAGTAATCCAAAGAACGAAATGTCAAACTAATCATTTTGGCAAGGTATTCAAGATTTTCATAGATATTATAGATCAAAATGATAAGTTCCGTATATTTCATTGCGATATACTTGTATGTATTGCGTTAACATTAGAAGCTAAAAAAATTTCTGAATTGAAATCATTGGAAATCAATATTTTCAATGATGATGAAATCATTCGTTATTGGTCATTTCGAGGTTTAAGAGCAGCTTATGATAGAGGTTTCAGATCTTCAACATTTCTACAGTGGTGCGATGATATTATTAATAAACTTGAAGACAATACTGATGTCGAAGTTAACTTCGATTTAGATTTATTCGAGACCATCGCGGCGTTAAAATACATTGATTTTGATAAAATTGATGGTAAACCACAAAATCGATGGAATAGAGAGCTTTTAATCTGTGATTTAATTGAACGATTTTACATAACTGAAGCAGAACGTTTTCAATTCTATGAAGCTTGGCTTGATATCGAAGAACATAGAAAAAGTCAGAGTGATATATTATTAAAACTTTTACACCGTTTTCTAGTAAATAATAATAATGCGCCCTTTACGGAATGTTACGAAACAGTAAAGATTCTAGATCAAATTGATTTCGACACTGCTCATGATATTTTGTTGCATAGTAGCCAAGCATTTGTCGATTTGAGACAGGCATACCTGACAGTTATTATTCGTCAATGTTTATTAAATAGAGCTGGAATCAGTGGTAAATATATTGAAGCTCTAGCATCGAATATGATGTCGAACTTTGGCTTTGATCTAAGTCGAAAATTTTTGAATAGTTTACAAAGTATCAGTAATTTATCAGAATTCGAAAATATTTTGAATTTTTCTAAAACATATCATATAAAATTATCGGATATTTATGTTAAAAATGCGACTGTTCCTATACTAAAACGATCATTAGAAATCAAACTGTTGGGTAATCAAATAGAAAAAGCTGATCGACTCAAATTAGGTGTTTGTCTGGATGATTTGTTAGATAAGAAATGGGCTTTCGAGCAATTAAATCATTTTTTCAGTATTGTGAAAGAATCAAATAGTCGAGAAAAAGCACGATATTTTTTATCTGTTCTCAAGATTATTTCATATTATAAAATTCCGTCGAAAGAAGAAAACTATGAAAAAATATCAACAATTCTAAAGAATTCAGCTGAAGATTGGCAAAAAGAGATCAATAAAATTGCAATTGAAACAAACTTCTCTGATAAAGGTCAAGTTAAAATGTCAAGAGAGTTAGTAGAAGAGTTGCAAAGTAAAAATTCACAGAATGAAAATTTGAAAACTTTAGATGAAGAAAAACTATTAGATTTAATAGAAAAAATTAAAAGTTCAAACTTATTGTCGTTATTGTTCAAGAATATTGTAGAAAAAGACTCAAATCCGAAGAATCGAATTCCTTCAATTTCTATCTCGCAATGGACAAAAGATCATATTCGTCTATGGACAAATATGGTCAAAGATTATGCTACACTTTGTATCGATTCCGAAGATTTCATTATAGAAGCTCTAGCAGTAATCAAACAAGCAAACTTTATAGATACTGGATTTCATCTTACAGATACACAAATTCTAAGCTGTTTGATTATTTTGAATGCCAACAAGAACCAAGGTAGATTACTACAAGTAGGAACTGGCGAAGGTAAATCAACTATCATCAGTGTATTAGCAGTCGTTTACGCCTTACTAGGAAGTACCGTTGATATCATAACGAGTTCACCCGTACTAGCAGAACGAGATGCAATAGAAAAAGAAAACTTCTACATTATGTTTGGTCTTCAATGTAGTCATAATAATGATAAAGCAGTATATCTATCGGGTCCAAAGATGTGTTACAGAAAACAGATTGTTTATGGTGAAGCAGCACAATTTCAATTCGATACACTGAGAACAGAATATGCTGAATTGAGTACATTAGCCGATAGGAAATGTGATGTTGCCATCGTTGATGAAGTCGATAGTATGCTTATTGATGATAGTTCGAAAATAGCACGATTAGCATCGACTATGTCAGGTATGGATCAATTACAGATAATCTATCATCTATTATGGCATCAACTTGTTTCTTTGCAAGAGAAAATAATTCGTTTAGATAATAAAATGTATTTATTTTATGGAAAAATTAAGTTCGAAGAAAAACTAATCACACTCGAATATGCAAATGAACAAGGGAACATTGTTACTATTCCAGATTTAAAAGCTCATCTAGCCTGTACATTCGATATAAGTAATATAGGAAAATGTATACCAGAAGATGATATAGAAGATGAATTTATTAAGAAGAACTTGGACAATTATATTCGAACATTCATCAAGGAAAATATCAAAGTACCGAAAAATTTCTCTGATTTTGTTCATTCACAAATACCGAAATGGATAGATAATGCCATTACAGCATTGACCTATCAAGAAAATGTACATTATATTGTACATGATGGTTTGATAAAACCAGTCGATTATTATAGTACAGGTATTGTACAGAGTTCATCGAATTGGAGTGATGGATTACATCAATTTTTGCAAATAAAGCATGAACTCAAAATGACATCAGAAACGTTTACGACAAATTTTCTCGCGAAACGAGGATATTGTACCTGGGATGG